CGACCCCGGCGCTGACGGTGGCGGAGATGGACCAGATTTTTGAAGAGGTAACTTTTTTTAATAAATTTAATTGATGTAATTTTAACTTTAAATTGAATTTTTAACCATAATGTATTTAAATATTTTCAGGTTGCCCCTAAGAAAAAGGGGCGGGTATTAGGGATGGGATCCATCCGTGATACCCCGACAGCTACGGCGACTGGTCACGTCCGGGCTCCGGATCCGGTTATCCGCCAGGAGATCGATCATATGCGGACCCACTACGAGACGAAGATTGACCAGCTGTACGGTGTCTTCGAGATCATGGGAGCCGACAACCCGTTGTTCATGGCGCAGTTGGACAGGTTGCGGGCTGATGGAGTTCTCGGATCGTCTGCCGGGTCATCTTCTAGGAGGCAACCACCGGTGCAGACGGATGAGGAGATGTTCCGGTCTCTCAGGGTTGATCCTCCTAGAGCTGGAGATCAGGCGCCGGAAGCCTCTAACCGAAGATCCGGGGATCAGGCAACGGAAACCTCAACCCGAAGACTCGGCAAAGAACATGTCGAAAACGATGGGGAGCAGGCCGGTGACGGGATCGACTTTAGTTTAGATTTAGATTTAGATCTTTAGGGTTTTTTTTGTAAATACTAAAATTAATTTTAATTCGAAATTTAATTAAATTTTAAATTATAAATTAATTCTTTTTTTTAATTTAAATTTTAATTCGAATTACTTTTTTTTTATTTTCAATTATATAAAACGTCGTATAATCATCGTAATATAATTCTTATTATTTTATTAAACCGTCGTATATTCGTCATAAAAAGTACGACGAAGTTACGACCAAAATGTACAACGACAAATATGACGACTATACGTCCGTGTTTTCTGACGATTTTACGACGGAATGATAAAATACTTTACAATTGATTTACGACAAAAATTGCATCGTATATTTACGACGATCCTACCTCGATTTTTAACGACGACTTAACGACGGTCTAGGCAAAGACCAAATCGACGCAATTCGATGTAAAATCGTCGTAAAATATACGACGCATTTACGACGATCTTTTTCCGTCGATGTTACGACGAAAAGAAACCGTCGTAGAGTATACGACGATTTATCTATTACGACGATGAGTTTACGACGATTTTGAAATCGTCGGTAATCCGCTATTACGACGAAATAACGACCATTTTGGCCGTTGTAAAATGGTGTTTTTCTTGTAGTGTCCCTTCTTCCACTTCATCTTCTATGTTGTGATTTTTTTCTTATTATTCTCTGACTTCTTATTCTTCTTCTCCCGATTATTCTTCATTTCTCCAAATTTTCATCATATTTTAAATGTCTTTGTCTTATTCATCTTCTTTTCCTCTTAGGTTTTATTTTTTCTCTTTCTTAATCTTTTCTTTGTATTTTTTACTTCTTCTTCATCGTTGTTTTTATCTTTAACTTGTTTTTTTTACCATCTATATCTTTTCAGACTTCTTATTCATATTATTTTTCTTCATCTCTTTGATCATCTTCACCTTCTTCTACTTTGTCTTCTTCCTCTTTTGGGGGGTTTTTTTTTTAAAATTCATTTTTTCTTCCATGTATTTTTCCTCTTCCACTTCGTCTATGTACTTGTTTTCTTCTCCAACTTCTTCTTATGGTTGTTATTTTATTTCTCTAGATTCGTCCTTTCATTCTTCTTTGTTCACCGTCTTCGTCTTATCCTACAATTTTTTTTCATCATTTTCTTTTTCCTCTTCTTTATCTTTTAGTTTTTCATATTCTTCGTCTTTTCCTTCTTATCCTCCATCATTTTCAACTCGTACTTCCTCTTCTTTATCGTCTTCTTCTTCTTTGACTTCTTAATTTTTTTCATTCGGTTTTCTTTGTTTTCTTCTTCTGATTCTCATCATTTATTGTTCTGATTTTTCTTCTGCCATTTTCTTCGTTTTCTTCTATCGTATCTGTATTCTCTAGCTTCTTATTCTTCCATATCGTCTACTTCTTCTTTGTGATCTTCTTCTTCTTTTTCTTTATCTTTTTTTCTTTTATTTATATTTTGGAAGTTTGGAAGTTGTCAAACATATATTTTCACATTTTTATGGGCTTGACTATTTTGACACAAACGATCAGTTTCAAAGAATCTTGCAAAGTAGAAGCATAGATAACATAGACACATATTATCCGACCATTCGAACATAAACTCTCATTTGAAACAAAGGATAAATATAGTTTAAAAGCTGAAACAAAGTCACAATGTCTAATTGAAATACAATACACAATCATCTTAGGATATAATTTTCATTACAACTGTTTATAGCAAGTATAGGCCACAACTGTTGAAGCAGCAACACAGACAACAACAAGAACGGCATATATATGTATCTTATCGCTCCCAATTCTCTAACCATGTTGGTATTATGCAGACCTAAGTGTTACTATTTATTATAAAAAAGGTCTTTTCTGCAATTTATCTTTCCAATGTAAGCTTTTTAATTGTTGTTCTCAATTTCAAGTTGATTATCAGCTGAGTTCTCCAGAAATAATGTCTAATTAAATTATGAGTTGCGACTGACAATAGAAAATTGTTACTTGACTTCTTCTCAAAGATTTTATATGGTTTTTCTCTGCCATTTTCTTCATTTTCTTCTATCGTATCTGTATTCTCTAGCTTCTTATTCTTCCATATCATCTACTTCTTCTTTGTGATCTTCTTCTCCTTCTTTATCTTTTTTTTTCTTTTTTTTTATATTTTGGAAGTTTGGAAGTTGTCGAACATATATTTTCACATTTTTATGGGCTTGACTATTTTGACACAAACTATCAGTTTCAAAGAATCTTGCAAAGTAGAAGCATAGATAACATATACACATATTATCCGACCGTTCGAACATAAACTCTCCTCTGAAACAAAGGATAAATATAGTTTAAAAGCTGAAACAAAGTCACAATGTCTAATTGAAATACAATACACAATCATCTTAGGATATAATTTTCATTACAACTGTTTATAGCAAGTATAGGCCACAACTGTTGAAGCAGCAACACAGACAACAACAAAAACGGCATATATATGTATCTTATCGCTCCCAACTCTCTAACCATGTTGGTATTATGCAGACCTAAGTGTTACTATTTATTATAAAAAGATCTTTTCTGCAATTTATCTTTCCAATGTAAGCTTTTTAATTGTTGTTCTCAATTTCAAGTTGATTATCTGCTGAGTTCTCCAGAAATAATGTCTAATTAAATTAAGAGTTGCGACTGACAATAGAAAATTGTTACTTGCCTTCTTCTCAAAGATTTTCTATGGTTTTTCTTCTCCAGATTCATCAATCTTCCCTTTCTTATTCTTCAACATCTTCATATAGTCTTAATTTATCTTATTCTGACTATTAATTTTCTTTTCTAGTTTTTTTTCATGTACTTCGTCTTCTTTTTCTCCCTCTTATTCAACTTTCCGATTTCCTTTTTTCTCTTCCTTTCTTTCTTTTTTTTTAATCATCTTCGGCTTCTTCTATTTGTAAATAAATACAATTTAACATCACTTGTTTTATCATTTATAAAACTTTTATACATTATGATATTTTTTAAAATAAACATTTATTCCATAATTAAAATTTATTATATCAATTAAAAATAAAAAAGTATAGTAGACTTTGTTTAAAATCACTATTACTATATTTTTGTCTTGTCACTAATGTATTAAATCACTAGTCTTTTTTTTCTATGTCAAAATGAATAATAATATAATGTTCTATTGACATTTTTATGTATAATACATCTTAAATTAACTTTGTTTAAGTTTTATTGTTAAATTTGAATCTATATTATTTATATTGTTTATTTCAGTCATAAATAAAAAGATTTGAAATTTAAATAACTAATTTATAAATAAAAAAGTTTAACTCTATTTTGGAGTAAAAAATAGAGTTTCTCCAAATATAGAGGGAAAAAAATAAAAAAATATTTTTTAGAGTTGGAAATAGAGGTGGGTTGGAAATAATTTTTCTCTACAATAGCATTTAGAGTCAAAAATAGAGGTGGGTTGGAGATGCACTTATAGATCTTCTTTATAATATCTACAGGGGAATGATTCCAAGTTCCAACCTATTAAACGGTTCGACTTAAAATCCATCAAATTTCTTATAGTCGGTTGTATAATTAATTAATGTTGTGCTACTTAAACTATTGGGTCATAAGGTCCATTGTATTCCTTTAAAAAAAAAAAAATCAGATTACCTTTTTTTAGGTTTCTATTATGAATAAATAAATGAGTGTTTTCAGTAGCAGAGTTCAATCTGCATAACAGTTTGGTTTCCGTTCAGATTTTTTTTTTTTTTCAGTTTTTCAAATTTTCGGGTTAAAAAAAAAACTACCATGTACATCCATATCTTATATGGTATGGTTCGGTTTGAATATTCACAGTTTTTGGCTTATTCAATTTTATACCGAAAAAAATTATATCCGATTTAATTATAAGTTATGTGGATTTCGATTGATACCAATAAAAATGAAGAAAATTGATGTATTTAAAAATTATAATTAACATAGTTATATTATTATATTAAGATTTCTTTAGAATTTAGACATATATTTTCTGGAATTAATATATGAAGATTCATATGAGTATTTATAAAAATAATATAAAGTGTATACTATGTATTATTATATTAAAATTTAGAACTAATCGGTTTTTTTTGTTTAATCGGTTAATATCCAAACCATATCTGTATTCTATGGTTTTCAAAAAAATTACATCCATTTGGATTATATGGTATAATAGAAACCAAATCATATTGTTCTAGTTCGATTTAATTTGGTCGGTTCGATTCGGTTTTACCAGATTAAACACCCCAATTTTCAGCAAGGATAGCCATTCGATTACCGGTTAGGTTTGTTTTCAGATTTTTCTGTTCTTTTTGGGATTTAAAAAATAGGATAAATTAGTTCGGTTCAGTTTGGTTTTAAACAATTTGGTTAAGTTTTGGACAAAATAACAAAAATGCACACCATGATGTCTGAAAAACTTTGCACGTTCTTGTAACAAATAAATAATTATACAGTGGAAGAAAAATTCAGTTATTACTTACCATGTTACAACTAATTAAACAGATAGATGATAAACATGAGTTTACATCAACTAAGCCGAGGAGTTATTGGTGCTCGTTTTCTTGGAAGAAGAAGAGGAAGAAGAATGGCTCTGTTTCTGTGAAGAATTATGGCTCGACGAAGATGACGACTCGGTGAAGAAGACCACAGATCCATCGTTTTCAACTAAAGCTTGGATCGATCTTGGAAACGGCGGAGGATTCACTTCCAAAACACCTTCAAGAATCTGAACAACTTGACTCATCGTTGGTCTATGACTCTCCTCGTCCTGTATGCACCAACACGCCACTTTACAAGCTCTCGTGAGCTCCTCTACGTCCACTGGCTCACCATCTAGTCTCGTGTCAAGCAGAGATCGGATGTCTCCATCTTTGGTGAGTACAGTTGCAGCCAAACTCGGAAAGAATCTGACTTTCCCGTTCTCTGATTGCTCAGTGTTTCTTCTCCCTGAAACAAGCTCGAACAGCATCATCCCGTAGCTGTAAACATCAGCTTTCGCTGTTATGGCAACTCCAGAGATCCATTCCGGTGCAAGATAGCCTCTAGTGCCTCTCATTGTCGTCAAAACCCTGCTAAAATCTCGACCAACAAGCTTAGCTAAACCGAAATCAGCAACTTTGGGACCGAACTGTGAATCTAACAAGATGTTTTCCGGTTTTATATCGCAGTGGATGATACAGTCTCTACATTCATCGTGTAAATAAGCCAATCCTCTAGCCGTCCCTAACGCTATTTGGTAACGCAGTTTCCACCCGAGGACGATCTTCTCTTCGGTTTGGTCGATGAAAAGATGTGAATCCAAAGAACCATTAGGCATGTAATCATAAACCAGCAACTTCTTGTTTCCTTCGGAGCAAAACCCACGAAGCCTCACTAGATTCATGTGTTGGATTGTTCCTATGGTCACTACTTCTGTCCTAAACTGCTTCTCTCCTTGGCTAATACCTTCAAGCCTCTTCACTGCAATGTCACTAGAATCCTGTAAAGCCCCTTTGAACACCGAACCAAAACCTCCTCCTCCTAACTTCTCCGAGAAATTCTTAGTCGCGTTCTGTAATTCTCTGTAGCTAAAAGCAGACAACGTACCATCACTCTTCTCTCTTCCCATTCTCTTCCTCCTCCGGTACCTTAAGATTAAGATTACCACCAACAGAACGAGAGCTATTGCACCTAAAGAGCCTAGAACCGCGCCAAATATCATCAGTTTGTTACTCTTACCGGAAGATTCACTAGGCATGTCGGAAGCAGCGAGTCTAAGATACAACGTATTCCCTTCGCTGTTATCTTCTTCGAGTTGCTGAAGATTCAACACATCTTTACTCCAACTCGAGCACCGGTTCGAGCCTTGATCATGCGCATAAGCCTTGCAAGAACAGTTCCCTTGGCAAGCAGATGCACAATTACCAAGACTCGTTATGACCACTACATCTGGATTGTCAGGTAATTTCACGTTGGAAAGAGGCAGAAACTGGTTAATGTCTCCACGAGAGCATTGTAGCTCAGTGTTTCTGACGCACCCTGCAGAGTAGTCCTTCAAGTCCCAATCTTTTTGCGAATCGGGCCTAAACCCTCGAGGACATTGGCAAAAAGGTTGAGACTTCTCATTGCATATCCCAAAAGAGCCACAGTAAGCATAGACTTGGCACTGTTCCCGAGGCTGAGACCAGAACTGGTTCCATAGGTTGTTGGCCTCTAACCAATTGAACTGCTTGATCTGTCCAGACACATCCATGACGAACCGTGACACATTCAAGTGGTTGTAGATCGTGTAAGTGAAGTATGACTCTGTCGCGTTAGTGAAAAAGCTGAAGTTGTAGATGTAGTTGAGTCTCATTTCGGGGACTGAATCGAAGATCCTGCTCTGAGAGTTCCAAGGACCACTTGACCAGTACTGAGTCGTTCCATTCCAGAGGATTTTGTAAGCTGTGGACTCGTCTAGCTCGAGAGAGAACAAACCTGGTGATGGGTCATCATCATTCTTCCACGAGGTGAGTCGTTGACTCTTTCCGGTTCGTTTATCTAACCGGATTTTGACTCCGGGAAGCCACGTGTTACCAGGATGATCAAAGCTTTGCCATAGAACAGAGCCGGATTCGTCTCTGAGAACGAGATTGCCGTCATCTTGCAAAACCGCTTTGAGAACAGAGGAAGTGTTTGTGGAATTGAGACCGGTGGACCAAACCGGAGTCTGGTTTTTGCCGTCGAGTAAAACTAAGTTTCCGTCGGAGATTTTGAGAACCGATGCGTTCTTGTCGGTGACTGATTTGTCTCGATTAGCTACCCAGACGACGGTTCGTTGAGAGAGTTGCTTATACCACATACCTATGTAGAAATTTGAAGAGGTGCCTGTTTCAAAGAAACCCATTTCGAAAGTTTCGTTGGAGGAGACGAGTGTCTGGTCGCCGGAGAGAGTAAAGTCGGAGGAGATTGTATCGGCGGCGGAAGAGACATGGATACAGAGAAAGAAGAGAGAAAAGAAGGTGAAGAAGAACGAAACCATGGAAAAAGCTTAGAGGAAAGAGAGAAAGATGGAGAGAGAGAGAGATCATATGAAGAGTCTTTGCTTTAATGAAAAGATTACAAATCTTTTAAGTCTTTGGTCGTGACTCCATGAGGTTTGGTTTGTCAATGGCGAATTGGAAAGAAGATTTCTTGATTTTATGTTGATTGGTTTTTTATTTGGGAAAAGTCAAACAAGTTGCATAATAATGGGGGGGGACCTACTATTGAATCTTCTCTTGACCTCGTCAAATTCATCGTCTTTATACGTTTTGTTGTGAATATACGTACGTTTGCATTTTAACCGAACTAACACCCAAATCGCACAATGATTGACTTGAAGTCTGACACGACGAGGAGGAATGTTGACAGATGATATGAATAGTTTTCACTTGAAAAGAAAACTCAGGACTTGTTCTATATCGTCAGATTTTTCTACTACGTTGCCTTACATCCAACGGTTGAAAAACCTCTAACCTAAATACAAAGTATCATCCTGGACTTAAACTCACCAGATTCGTTCTAGACTTCTAGTAACCAATACCAGTATACATAAGTGGAGCTTCTGAAAGTTCTGGCACCATCCTGGTATGTATTTAGTTAATTTTGTGATCAACTTGCTCTAATTTGCTTCTCCCTAGTCAGGGACATTACTACCAGAAGACGATGAGAATTTGAACACATCTACATTTGCAAGAAATGATATCTTTCTCTCTCGCTGCTTCACATCACCGCTCTCTCTTGCCGCTACAAGACCACAAATCCTCATACTCAGGTTTTTTTAGATCTTGGGTTTCTAGGGAAAGGATTAGACGGATTTTGGTTAATTCTGATTGATTTTTTTTTTCCTTAGTTCTGAGCATCTATTTTCGTGGGTATGCTTCTGACTTTGAGCCAATATCACTTTGTTTAGTCAATGAATCCTTCAATTCTTATCCGCAGGTGCAAAATCTTCTGCAGCAAATGGTGGATTTTCTTACAGATTTTTTTTTTTTTTGTCTCATTAGGCCTGTGAATTGCAGCTTCAAACAAGTAGATTCTGATAAATCTGGTCTTTTGTGTTTTTCATCAAAACAGGTTCCATAAAATGTCGGACTCCATCACTGCAAAGAGTATCCTTACATCAATATTGTATATGGTTTTACTTGAATGTTGCTTCCATTATCATATTTGAAATGTTTCCTAAAAAGAGTAAGAACCATGATCTTTTTTTTTTGGTCAAAAAACCACCATGATCTCTAATATTAGTTTCTTTCTGCCATTAAACTATATGAAATGACAATTCTCTAATGACATATTGGATGTAACGATGATCCCTGATAATTGTTTCTTTGTGTTTAAATGTCTATTTTATTAGATAGTATCACACGTGTCTGTGTTATGATCTTTAGTTAAGAGTTCCTCTTATACACATACTTCTTTGCTCTCACTGATTTTCTTTCACGTGTTAGGAGGTAAGAGACCTTATGCAGCTGGTGATTCTGACTTCTTTCAATATTTTGCAGATTGTTTCTTCTAAGTCTGGTGGAGCTGAGAAGAAAGGCTTTGACCACAGTTAAGCAAAACAAGAGACTTAAATCAGTTTCAAGTGCATCTCATTACTACTGGTTTGATGTCTTGCTCATGTACATGAATAATGCTTTGTTTAACACTCTTAGGTCGATTACTATTTACACAGTTCACCAAATAAGTTTTTTTTTTTGGTCTAGTTTGTGTTTTGCTGCTAAAATTTTTTTATCTCTGTGAAGGCCAGAACCGGAACTGTTGAGCTAAGGAATTTGAGTGTATGGAGTTCGTTGCTGGTGTCACTTGTAATGTTAGTTTAATACTTGGATCGAGACTTTTGTAGTGTTTGTTAGATATCTATTTGTTGTTGAGACTTGGATTGAGAATTATATACTTTTTTTATATAGCATATGTTTAATGCAAAACAGGTTTCTTGCGAATGTGGAATAAAATAATGTAAAACAATAAATCGTAACTTAAAATGAGAGCTACAAAATATTAGATCCTGGCTTGAGAAAAGAGCTACGGAACATTAGACCATAGCTTGAAAAAAAAGCTACGACACCTTAGATCATAGCATTAACAAAAGCGCAACAATATCAATTAGTATAGCATTAAAATGAGCTACAAGATTATATATCAAAGCACTGACCAACACTATAATAGAATATCATATAATAGCAGAAGATCAAAACGCTATTATAGCTCCGGCTGTTATATAGTTCATCGAAACGCTATTAAAACCATGTGATAGCGTTTATCTTGAGCTAAGAATATCCATTTTTCTTTAAATCGATTTTGATGTGTCCGGGGATAGAGATACCTGGCAGCACAAACATCAGAGAAGAAGAAGAAGAAAATCATCAATGCTGTGGAAAAAAGCACTAAAAATTAGTGTATAGATGGAAAAAGATCTTGGAGGATTTGTTAGTATGCACAATTCCGTAGAATATCATCACATAAAGCAGACAGGGCAGTGTGTTAGCATTTTGTATTGTGTGTGTTCTATTACCTCATCGATCAATGAAGAATCATGTTCTTTTATAACAGCATCTACCTGTTCATTTCTTTTATTACACAGGGCACTATCTCTTTCTACTAAGGCAGCTACTTGGAAAACAAAAGGAAAGACTTCCACACTTTTTGTGAAAATGGGTTGTGTTTCAACTGCTTGTTTTGCTTGAATTTAAGACTCTAAGATCAAATTTCGAACTTGTTTTGCAATATTTTTCAAGAAGATAATAACTAAAAAGCAGAGAAATACTTTACGGTTTTGACTTTTGGCAAACATAAAGGATCACTAGCATTGTCTTCAATCTATAGCCTTTGCTGTAAACAATGAATATGTTTTTTGATTATTTTCTTGGCAGAATTACTTGAAGACGGAAAGGTTATGTGAATAGATGGATGCCTCGAGAGATAACGCTATTCAATCACAATCTTCGTCAAGCAGCTCCAATGTGGTGGTGATGATGGTGGTGGTGGTGGTGGTGGTGATGCCTGTGGCTGCAATACTCCTTTGCATAACTCCTGCAACAGCTTTTACCAATGTGACGCTTCTCTCTTTCTCTGCATTTTGATCCACAAGCCTCTGGAGTCTTCACTTTGCAACAAATCTCTAACTTCTTCACTTGCAAGTCAGATAACACCAGATCAATAGGACTTGTGCAACAGCTTTGATTTGAGACTTTCACTATCTCTTTCTCCTTGCTGCAACAGCTTGAACCGGCTTTACTACTCTCCACCACATTTACCAAATCAGAAGACACTTCTTGCTTCAAACCAGTTCCACAACACAGAGATTTGCAATCAACACCACCTTCAGTTGCCGGATTTTCTGTCTCTTCCTCATAAGCCAGAGTTATTTCCTCAGTTTTCTTTTCATCACCGCAGCAACCAGACTTGCATTGTCCTTCATTCACTATCTGCATACCCTTCTCAAGATCAAGTCGCTCTCTCACTTCCACTTCTCTTTTTCCACAACAAACCAACTTGGAATCACAGCTTACGATGTCCAGACATGTCTTCTCATGGCAGCTTTGTTTCATTTCCTCCTTGTTTCCGCAACATCCCGAGGAGCAATCCAGACTCTCTGTCTCTTCCTCAGAAGCCAAAGTTATTTCCTCGGTTTTCTTTTCATCACCGCAGCAATTAGACTTGCATTGTCCTTCAATCTTTACCTGCAGGGCTTTCTCGAGATCAAACTGCTCTCTCACTTCTCCTTCTATGCTTCCACAACAACCCAACTTGATATCACAGCTTACACCAGCTTCAGTTTCCAGACATGTCTTCTCATGGCAGCTTTGTTTCACTTCCTCCTCGTTTCCACAGCATCCCAAGGAGCAATCAGAACTTTCTGTCTCTTCTTCAAAAGCCAGAGTTATTTCCCCGGTTTGTTTTCCATCACTGCAACAATTAGACTGGCATGGTCCTTCATTCTTTAACACCAGGCCCTTCTCGAGATCAGATTGCTCACACACTTCTCCTTTTGTGTTTCCACAACAAACCAACTTGAGATCACAACTTACACCAGTTTCAATGTCCAGACTTGCTTTCTGATGGCAGCTCTGTTTCACTGACTCCTTTTTCTCGCAGCATCCCGAGTTGCAGTCCATATTATAAGCCACAACTGTAGCTTCCGCAGTTTTTCTTTCACCGTCACAGCAGCCAGACTTGCATTTTCTTTCATCTTCAATGAGAACTCTCTCCTCCAGATAAGTTGTTTCCTCAGTAGTAGAAAGCATCAAACCTGTTTCCTTAGCCTTTTCTTTATTTCCACAACAGCTTGATTTACAGGTTTCACCAACCGTTTTCTGCAGCCCTTTCTCCAAATCAGTTATCTCCTGACCAAGAATCTGCATCTCGACATTTCCCTCTGCTTGCTGCTTCTCCTCACAACAGCTCTTTGCCACTACTATTTCCTTCAGCTTCTCCTTTTTGCTAGCACAACAACTTGATCCACTTGTAATTTTCAGGTCAATTTTAGACTTCTTGCATGAGCTCAATGAAGCGATATCTCCCTCTGGTTTCTTACTTTTCTCGCCGCAACAGCTATCTTTCACAAGCTTTACATTGTCTCGCTTCTTATCGCCACAACAACCAGCAGAGTTACAATGGTCAGAACTGGTTTTACTGCTTGGTCTCGTCATCACCTTCTCTTGAGTTTTCTTGTCTCCACAACAGCCTGAATTGCATTGACCATTACCACTCTTTGATAACAAGCCTGCTTCTAAGTCCACGTCTTCATCATCTCCACCTTCAAGTTTCTTACCATTCAACATAGTTGTAGAAGCCCTGTAACACTTTCTGTTCTTGTTTTTGTCCTTCTCTCGCAGCAACAACATACTATTAAGAATCACAAGCAGACAAGTCCCAACATCAACAAGCACCGCAGCCCAAATCAAAGGATGACCAGCAAACGCCAAACTCAGTATTCCTGCTTTCAACGTGATAGATATAAACACGTTTTCAACAACTTTGCGTCGAGCTCTTCTTGCTAGCTTTATCGCCTGTGGTATCCTTCTGATATCATTTGACATCAGAATAATATGACCAGTCTGTGTTGCAAGCGCAGAGCCAGAAATACCCATGGAGATGCCAATATCAGCTGTAGCTAAAGCTGGTGCATCATTCACACCGTCCCCTACCATTGCGGTTGGTCCTTCTTTCTTAAACTCTTGTATGATTTTGGATTTGTCTTCTGGAAGAAGTTCTCCATGTACAGCATCCAGAGCATTCCCTAGCTGTTTCATAAATAAATAAAAAAACATGTCGAGGTTTTTGTCACGTATTAAGAGAGTTAATCAAACTCTGGTTTTTAGTCTCTCACCTGTTCTTGAGCATGCATTGCTGCATCTTGATTATCTCCTGTTAGCATTGCGGTTTTGATTCCAAGATCTTTTAGTTCCTTCATTGCTTGAGCTACACCGGATCTACAAGCATCAGAAAGATTGAAAACTCCAGCTAGTCTTTCACTTACATAGACGTATCCAATAGTTTTTCCACCTTTGGTATCAACCTCAATCTCTGGAACTGGTCAAGAAATAACATTCAAGAAAGAACAGTCAAGTGGTCAGACTCAACAAAACTTTCCATTTGAGTTTTTGTAGCCAAATTTTGAAGCTTTACCTGTTGAACAACCAGCTCTTGAAGCAATCTTTTTGTTCCCAATGTAAATATTGTTCCCATCAATCTTCCCATAGATTCCTTCACCTGGAAAATTTTGGTAATCCTCAACCTCTTCAGGCCTAGGCTCAACAGAAACGGATCTAGCATAGTCCATGATTGTTGTTGCCATTGGATGACTTGATTTGCTTTCAACACTTGACACCCTGAAAAACATTGTATAACCAGAAACTCTCAGTCATAAGTTATATCTCAAGAAACTGGTTTTGTATCAGAACACAAATTTTTTTACCAGTAAAGCAAGCTGCGTAGGCTTATATCTCTAGAGAGTGACTTGAAATCTATGACAATAAACTCTCCTCTGGTTATAGTCCCGGTTTTGTCGAAAGCAGCTATCTTAATCTTTGAGAGTGTGTCAAGATAATCAGCACTTTTGATCAGAAGCCCTGAAGTCGCCGCTTTGGTAAGTGCACAGAAAGTAGCAACTGGTGTAGAGAGGATAAGACCACAGGGACATGCACTGACTAACACAACTAGTGCCAAATGAAACCAATGGTTGAGGTTGTGAACTTTCATTATAGCCGGGACAATCGCAAAGCAAGCCGAGATTATGATGATTGCTGAAACAAATTCCAAGAAAACACAGAGGTTTTCAAACTACAGGTCTAAAGAACATAGAGAAAATTCGAAAGAACAAGTTCTTGTTATGTCTTTGCTTACCTGGAGTATAGTACTGAGAACATTTGTCTATTAGCCTCTGAGATTTGGTTTTACTGCTCTGAGCTTCTTCTACGAGTTTAGCCATCTTGGCAACCACACAATCACTGGCTAAAGCAGTTGTTTTCACACTTATATAACCTGCAAATACACAATGGAGCAAGATCAAATGAGTGAATGATATACCTTAAAGGTCAAAGATTATAGCATTTTAAAGAGGATTACTCACCGTTTAGATTGATTGTTCCAGCCCAAACCGTAGAATCTCTCTGTTTAGGAACAGGAAATGCTTCGCCGGTTAAAGTTTTCTCGTCTACTTCACAGTTTCCATCCACCACAATGCCATCAATTGGTATAGTTTCTCCTGCTTTAACTGCTACAACTGTGTTAAGCTTAACCTCATCTACTTCAACTTCTTCTCCAGTCTCTGCTATTATTGCCTTCTGTGGAGCTAAGCTCATCAGAGACTGCATCACCGAGCTTGCCTGAGATTTCAAATATATATGCCATAATCATTACCTCAGATATCTTAAAATCAATAAAAACTTCAAAGATTTAAATCATCCTTATAAAGAAAAAGCAAGAAACCTCGCTATTATTTGAGAACATAAATACGTAATAGATGGTTAGTTAACAAACCTTGTAGCTAGCTCTTGTTTCGAGCCATTCGGCTATGGTGAATAAGAACACAACTGCTGCAGCCTCCATGTAATCTTGCATTGCAAGTGTTGCAATCACTGTTTGACGTTATTGGAAGATCATTATTATTAGTTAAAAGTTAAAACAATCATCACCTGATCACATATTTAGAAAACCACAAGATTTCACAAGCATCTCTAAGTGCTCGCAGCACTTCCATATGGAGAAAGATAACAGATTTTTATTTGAATACAAACTTGGTTTATATGGTTTTTCTTTCTTAACCGGGTCTCTTAAACCGAAGTTCCAAATAGAAATAACTCAACAATAACTCAATGGCTGTTCAAAAAAAAAAAGATTGATTAATCAATGGCTAAGTCAAAGTTAATTATCAGTTCCAAATTGTAAATTGATTTCTTAACTATCGATGATCTTTTTCCTTCAATTATTTTGCTTTTTGGTTTTCTTTCACGAGTTAAAACTTAAAAGTGCATTTTTTCCCAGTTTGAGTCGTAGAAGATAAGCCAATAAAAAACCACTTAACCTTTTTTCCATCTATGACACGTAATTGCAATTTTTATTTTCATAAGAAGATTAATTTTTCAAAATGAATTAACAACACATCAACAGTCAAACGAATCATTAAAAAATATACCAGAAATATTTAAAGTTCCCAATGAACCAGACAACTCAAAGAAAATCGATTACGAAACGATCAAACGACCATTTCTCTAGCCGCCTCGATCGTTTTAAATCAGTATTTGTATCTATGTTGTATTATACAACTTAGATACAACTTGTGTGCATACAATAATTTTTAAATTTCATTTTTTATATAAATATTTTTGTTTCACGTACGCGTAATAACAAATATATACATTTTTGTAAAGAGAAATAAGAAAGGCGTATCTTTTTTCTCCATATTTTGAATACACCTTTAAATTTTTGCATTATCTTCCACACCAACTTTCCAAGTCTATCACATGTTCACTTTACCTATATCCAAAGAACATTTTGATATTTTTCTATATCCTATTACTCAAATTTACTTTATATACAGAGAAAATATAAAGTCGTTTTATTTAGATCCATAACTCAAATTTACTTAATAATACAACAGAAATATCAAATTGCTACATTATTAATATTGGAGTTATAAAAGTAGAATTTGGGCACATTAATATGGCCTTGAATGTTTGCAGATTTTAGAATAGATTTTGGTTTTTGTTTTTGAAAAATCTATTTTTTCATCCATTCAAGATTTTAGTAAAACTGATTCCCTATTTTTTAGGAAAACTAGTTTTTCAAATAACTACCATTTTGTAAACAAAAACTAAAATCTACTCTTATGTAGTTTTTATCTCAATTGTCGAGATTTTTTGTTCTATAAAAATAAAATATATATATATATATATATATATATATTAATTAAACAATTCTTAGCCATCAATATATTTTTTACATAAAATCATCAGTCTCATACTATCATACATACAAAACAAATCTCATAATTTTGTCAATTAAATTTCTGCAAAATAAATTTAATTTATTAATAAAAATGTATCTAAATTAATAACTTTAAAAGCATACATATTTACATACACATTCATATATGCATTTCAGTAAAAATGTGCTTGTTTTTTTAAACACTTAAAACAAAACAAAGTTTGAAAAAACATAAAAAAAAATATAAATCAAGGTTTTAAAAAAAAAAATATATATATATATATATATATATAAACAAAAACCAAAATATAAATAAACCACCATTCAAGTTTTTTTTGAACCCAAAATCTACAGCAAAATCAAAAACTGAAAACTCAAAAACTAAAATCTAAAAACCAAAAACCAGAAATCAAAAACCAAAAACTAAAATCTAAAAACCACTCAAACATTCATGGCCTATATGTTTGGATATTTCCCATGTGTATTACTTTTTACAATATTAAGAAAAAATAAAGGAAAACTTTTCTAAAAGGTTTCGTGGAGTGCTAGGTTTGCAGGAAAGCAGTATATATAAGCTTTTGTAAAAGGGCTTAAGGCAGAGTAAAGACTCGCAAGTTTTAAGAAAAGTATACTTTAACCAAAAAAACAAATGTTTTAAGAAAATTTTAGGTCTATTAATAGGGCCTTACTATGACCACAGTCTTCTCATTTTTTTTTCTTTGCCATAACTCCATAGTAGTATGATTGTATGAACATATATTGATTACGGGTAACCATTAAACTAACAAAACACTATAGTTATTAGTTATAGTTATAGTTACACGTCAATCTTGAGTCATGCGGGGAAAAAAAGTAACTTTTATGAAAAATTAATAAAAAATGAAAAGTGGAATTACCGGTTATAATGACTAGGATGTTGATGTCGACCCTTAGCCTTCTTACCGAAGCAACGGCTTTTGCAAGAATCGGATAAATACCAGCGGCGACGGCTGCGACAGCGAGCCAACGAAGAGGCGAGTAAACAAATTTTAAGAAGGAGAGGAGGAGGAGTATGCCGGAAACCACCGCGAAAGGGCTTGGCCATTTGTTCTTGAAGTTGGTCTCTCCGGTTACTTTCACGTTTGCCTCTAACCTAGCTTGGTTCAATGCCTTAGCTGCACCACAATTTTGTTTGGAACTCGGTCATTAAACAACCAATATGTAAGAAAATTGTTTTAAAAAATCATACTTTTCGATCGTGAGGGAAAAAAGTCACTATTTTTAAGTCTAATTGGAATATGTTTCCTATCAAATAAAAAAAAATATAAAATACAGTTACAAAACGAGTATCATCCACTACAAATTAAAAATTCTGATAAAAAGATCTGGTAAAAATCTCGACAGGCTTTCTTAGAATTTTTTTGATTCTGCATATGTTTTTGGAAAATTAAATCTACGTATGACGTCAACCAGATATACTTGTTTACACGATACACGACATGCGGTATGTATGATCAGTGCATTATGCAAATATTAGATAAAAGCTGGTTCGCAAAAAAAATGTATAGAAGTTGTAACAATCAGTTTGTTAGATCAATTGAACGTAATCCAAGGAAAAGTTTAGTGAATGTTTACTTTCGTCTGAACTATCTAATTAAAACAAAAAAAAAACCTATTAATGGAGATAAATTGTTTTTAGTAACGTTTTCTTCTGCTTTTTGTTGTTGGAAAAGAAAACTATTTTTTATTCATAACTTTTGACCTTTAGCGTGTCAGCTTGGGCTCCTCCGATTTTAAAACACAAGCATTTACTCAGTAAAAATCAGAGGAAACCAATTAAAAAAACACTTTGGTAAAAAAAGATCAGTAGTCCTTTTAAATGATTTTATTTTTATTTTTGTTTAATGAGTTTTTGCTTGTGTTTTTTACGATAGTTTAAAAAGACTTGATTTCTAATATAACTTTTAGTTTTAATTTTTTAATTTTTGTGTGTTCAATTACTAAAATCAAATAATATAAAAATAACCAATCAAATAGATATTGATGGATGACAACAATATTTTGCAACATAACAAAAAAAAAAACAAAAAATCTTCTTGGAAAAAAAATCGATCAAAGGAAAGAGGTTTTTGAGGGGTACCCCAAATAATAGGGTGTTTAGTTAAACATTAGAATTGGTAAAACCTTCGAAAATCTGAATTCCCTAGTTTTTAGGATTACCATTTTCCTTAAAACCTTGAATAGTTGATATAAAGTAATTTTCCTAAGAATTAAAATGCAATTGGAAAGGCAAATTAAGCTTTAGTGGTAGAATTGTTAAATTTCATTAGAAGTGACTTGTAGCATAAAGTAAAGTAGTCAGTGACCAAAAAGTGGCGTTTGCGTTGCGTATCAAACCACGACGCGAAACCAAATAGAGAAAGAAGAAAAGATAATGAAGTGATTTTTTCGTGTGTGATATTTTTATGCGTTACCAATTTGAAACGGAGAGATGAGATGACTGTCGTGGACAACGATCACGGTTCTTGACGGAACGATGACGGAATATTCCTTAACGCCGTCGAGAGACTTGAGAATATTCTCGATCAGAGGAATCTCCGATGTACAACAGATTCCCAAAACATCGAAGTAACTCTTCTGCCACTTCTTCTTTGTCTTTTTATCTTCTTCTTTGTTCTTGTCCTCCTTCTGTGACCCCATTTCTGTATCAAAGGTTCCCTTTAATGATTTATGAATCTGTGAAACGACACTTTATATATATAAAAAAAAAAGGACAAATCATACCACAAAAAGAGATTATTTATGGGTTTATGGCTACTTTCACTCTTTTTTATAAAAAAAAAAAGGAAAAAAGAAAAAAGAAAAAAGCAAAACTGACTTGATGAAAGGTCTATTTAAAGATTGGAGATATCATAATCGTAAATTACATTGAGTTTTTGTTTTTTTGCAAAAAGGAGGAATTTTTGGATATGGGTATGTCTAAAAATCTTAACTCTCTCATTGCTTAATCCGGATTATGAACAATATTCAATTACGAGGAGGAAGACGAATCAGATATTGTTATAGTCTGATCACTTTTTATGAAATCTATGTAAATTAAGAAGAGAAAGAATTAATACCAGAGAAGAGACGAGGCCGAGCAGAAAGACCAGACCGGTTTGGTTCGGTTCGATCAGATTACAGTGTTACCAGAAAGGTCAGGACAGAGAGTGAGAGAGGTTTTGGAACGTAAAGAGGAGAAAGATTGAGGTGGAGAGATTTAGTAATGGTAGTTGCTTATATAGGCAGATAAGTAAGAATGTTAGATGAAAGATGATTGGTTGGTTTTCTTTAATATTATGTACATTACCAAATTTTTGTATCAAAAATATATATTGTTATAACTTTTTTTCTATGCATTCATTCGACCAACTAATTTTTCATTTTTAATGATTCATAACGGATCATATAAACTTGTTTTTAGGGTAGTTCTAACAGTACCAAATCTTATATTTTGTTTCTCCAAAATTACCAACTAAATTCAAATATATAAAAAAATAACTCGAAAAATAACAGTTCAAATATATCAAAATTACCATGTATCAGTGTATCAATAATTCTTAAAACTTAAGAAAGGCTACCAAGTGAATCAAGCATCATAAACCTTATACAACCTAAAATATATGGAATTTTTCAAAAAAATTTGGTTATAGTTTGGAATTAAAATATGTTTTATTGCTATAGGTTTTTTTTGTTTACCATGTAAATTTCGAAGGCGATTTTTAGTTATTTGTTTTCAGTAGATTCCTTCCTGATTTTCAGGCTAGTTCCTATATATATATGTTCAAGATGTAATTTCTTTTTGTTCAATTTCCAAGAATTAAAAATTATAAGTTGAGTTTGAAATCGATGACATCAGATTGTAACGCTTTATTCACTATAATGGATTATAGACTAGTCTAACTCCTTTCGACCAAAAAACATAAGACTAGTCTAACTGAAAATAAAATAAAAGATTGACGACTCATTTACAGTATACAGAACTTCTTAAAACTTGGGTTGACAATATCTTATATCTTTGAGATTTGAAGCTAGCTAATTCATTAAGTAAATTTTTTCTTAATTACAAGATCAAGGGAGTTAATCTGTTAAAGTTTCTTTTTAAAAAATCTAGTTGCGTTTCTCTTAACGAACGATCAAATTATATGAAAAAGGAAAGAATGCCACAGCAACATCAAACCTTCGGTTGTTAACCTTAAAGTAACATGTAAAAAACTTACAGCCATGGTTAGATACCTCTGAACCGTAATGCAAGTGAATCTTGTAATCTCGCAAACTGTAGTTGTCATGTGTTTAACATTGTCCGATGGAAAAATAAGATTTCCGCATTTTCAATGTGAACACCCCCGAACTGCCACTCAAAATATAAACTTTTAAATCAACATAAAACCTGTAGATATTTAGACCGTTAGAGATAAACTATACGTAGTGCAGTTATCATACCAATTAAAGGTAAACAATTGTTTCTATTTCCAACTTAGCAAAAGATGAAATCACAAGCCATGGACATTAGCTTAAGAAGTTAAAAATATTAAAATCAATTGTAATAGCTAAAGAAACCATTGTCAAATGATACTTTTGCACCCATTTCCTTTTCTGCTTCCTGCTTTTCCCAAACAAAACCCTTTCATTTCTTCTTTGTGTTTCATCAAAGTCGCTTATAATATCGAGGAACGATCCCAAGGTTCAATATTCCTACAGATCTCAGTCTCATATAGATATGCTAGATTTCCTAACTTTACTATTTTATAGACTTATTGATCAAAGTATCTTTGTTTTCAAATGTCTTTCTTTTTCACAATATCAAATACTCTTTTAAATTGTAAAACTAAGAATTAACATATGTAAGATGTTGATGTTAAGAAATATTACCCTCTTGATTTTTGTTTATGATTAATAAGATTTAAATCTAATAAAATTATACATGCAAATCGGAAATTATAGTTCGCCATTGAAAACGTTTTAGATGCCAACCCGGTTAACCCGAAAACAAATTTTAATCTACAACAACAATAACAATTCATATTGTATTAAGAAATAAACCACGACTTGAAAATTTTATTAGAAAATGTTAAATTTCTTTATTAAAAATATGTTATTTTGTTTATGGTTTTATTTTTATATTTTTTTGTTACATTCTGCCTCCAATAACAACTAAAACAATTTTAAATATTGAGTGAGGATAAAACTTGTCCGATATGGCGAGTTTACTAGTTTAGTTTTGACAAATGATACTCGCGATATACCATATCTAACAATTGGAATTACTAGAGTTTTGTTTTAATAAATAGCTCAATTTTGGCAGAGGTATTGTTCATATTTTATCGATGTTTGGAGGTAATTTAGACTTTTAGGGCATCTCCAATGTATAACTTCATAATTTTCTCTATTTTGGAGTAACTTCAAAATGAAGTTGTGTTTTACTCCAATATAAGCTCCATTTTATCTCTAAAATGAAGTCATGATAAAAAAAATAGAAAAACTCTATTTTTTGCTCCATATTTAGAATAACTTCATTTTTTACTTTTGGAGTGAGATATGGAGTAGGGTTGGAGAAAATGTTGCTCCAAACTCTATTTTAAAGTAAAATTTGGAGTAGGGTTGGAGATGGTATTAGTGCTCTAAAGATAACTAGGATTTTTTTTTTAATAAATAGCTTGACTTTTGCAGTAGTGAAGTATTGTCGATATTTTATCGATGTTTGGAGGTAATTTAGACTTTTAGTGCTCTAAAAAAAATTAGAGTTTTGTTTTAATAAATAGCTCAATCTTCGTATCTCAAAGCTCCACCACCCTTAAAATTTACTATTTCCTTTTCTGCAATACTCTTTTACCACAGCTCACGGAGGCGCTCGTTTTGCGACTCACGGAGGCGCTTGTTCCGTGACTCACAGAGGCGCTTGTTCCAAGACTCTCCAATTCACTGGTTCTGCTGCTCTCCAACTCGCTTGTTCTGCTGCTCTCCAACTCGCTCGTTCCGCTGCTCTCCAACTCGCTCGTTCCGCTGCTCTCCAACTCGCTAGATGAGTAAATAAGTAAGGATTACTGGATGTTGTTATGGATCCAACGACCCAATTAGTTAATTTTTTCTCTGAACACCTCCTAAAGACATTCCTTTTAACTCCCATATCAGTTTTCAAGAAAAATGACTCAGCAAGATCAACACCAGCCAAGTAAATCACACTGAAATCTTAAACTTTGTTAGCAAAAAACAAAACTTCAGAAACTCAAACTCCAATGATCATATATTGAAAACATAGTGTAGTAGTATATCATGTTTTATCAAACTATTTACTATTAATAATTTTCATTTTTTCTCAAAATTTTAAAATTCAAACTTGTAATTGATGTATTCGAAAATGTAAAGTGACTTTGAACTAAAAATACACATCGTTTTGAAACACAATGATTTGCAATTTTCAAGATGCGTTTTATTAAAAATATCGTTTTGGCTCAATTTAATATCTAAGAACAAATCAGATGCAAAATCAGGTTGTAAAGAAAATGAGAAGGATGATCTCGAAATCTTATGTGACATCAATATATAGTATGATCATTCAAATTGTAAAGACTAATTGTACCGTTTTCGGCTCAATTTTCAAGATGCGTTTTAGAAAAACGTTTTTTAAAAAAAAAATTTCTAAATTTCGGTTTTCTATAATTTCAAAAACGGTTTGGTTGAATACAGAATTAAGCACTAAACCATATTAATTGAAACATGTTCGTTTTAAGTTTTTTTACACATCATCATTTAGGAACCAATTAAAAAATGACATGTAATTGCTAAATAGGGCTAAACGGTTTTTTTGCAGCCGAAACTCATTCTGGAGCTGACATGTAAGCGAAAAGCTGTGAAACTCGCTGTGAGCGCGACACGTAAGCAAAACACTACAGAAATAAAAAAATAACATATTTTAAATTATTTTTTATAAATTTCGGTTTTATATAATTTCAAAAACGGTTTGGTTGACTACGGAATTAAGCATTAAACCATATTAATTTAAACCGGTTCGTTTTAAGTTTTTTTACACATCATCATTTAAGAACTAATTAAAAAATCTCAATTTAATATCTAAGAACAAATCAGATGCAAAATCAGGTTGTAAAGAAAATGAGAAGGATGATCTCGAAATCTTATGTGACATCAATATATAGTATGATCATTCAAATTGTAAAGACTAATTGTACCGTTTTCGGCTCAATTTTCAAGATGCGTTTTAGAAAAACGTTTTTTTTTTAAAAAAATTCTGAATTTTGGTTTATATAATTTCAAAAACAGTTTGGTTGACTACGGAATTAAGCATTAAACCATATTAATTAAAACATGTTCGTTTTAAGTTTTTTTACACATCATCATTTAGAAACCAATTAAAAAATGACATGTAATTGCTAAATAGTGCTAAACGGTTTTTTTGCAGCCGAAACTCATTTTAGAGCTGACATGTAAGCGAAAAGCTGTGAAACTCACTGTGAACACGACACGTAAGCAAAACACTACAGAAATAAATAAAAAAACGTATTTTAAATTATTTTTTCTAAATTTTGGTTTTATATAATTTCAAAAACGGTTTGGTTGACTATGGAATTAAGCATTAAACCATATTAATTTAAACCGGTTCGTTTTAAGTTTTTTTACACATCATCATTTAAGAACCAATTAAAAATCTCAATTTAATATCTAAGAACAAATCAGATGCAAAATCAGGTTGTAAAGAAAATGAGAAGGATGATCTCGAAATCTTATGTGACATCAATATATAGTATGATCATTCAAATTGTAAAGACTAATTGTACCGTTTTTGGCTCAATTTTCAAGATGTGTTTTAGAAAAACGTTTTTTTTTTTAATTTCTGAATTTTGGTTTATATAATTTCAAAAACAGTTTGGTTGACTACAGAATTAAGCACTAAACCATATTAATTGAAACATGTTTGTTTTAAGTTTTTTTTACACATCATCATTTAGGAACCAATTAAAAAATGACATGTAATTGCTAAATAGTGCTAAACGTTTTTTTGCAGCCGAAACTCATTCTGGAGCTGACATGTAAGCGAAAAGCTGTGAAACTCGCTGTGAAACTCGCTGTGAGCACGACACGTAAGCAAAACACTACAGAAAAAAAAAACGTATTTTTTTTTTTCAAAATTTTGGTTTTATATAATTTCAAAAACGGTTTGGTTGACTACGAAATTAAGCATTAAACCATATTAATT